AAATATGGTACATCCATATATTAGCCATAAAAAGGAATGAAGTACTGATACATGCTACAACATGGATGAATTTTGAAAAAATTATGCTGTGAAAGAAGCGAATTACAAGAGACCAGATTATTTTATGATTCTATTCATATGAAATATCCACAATAGGCAAATCTCTAGAGACAGAAAGTACATCAGTGATTTCTAGTACATGGGGAGAAGGGAGAAGTGAGAGATACTCTTTATAGGGTGAGAGAAACATTCTGGAATTAGTGGTGATGGTTGTACAACATTGTGAATTTAGTAAAACACACTTTAAAATGGCGAGTTTTATCTCATTTGAAAAAAAAACCCCACATATTTTTAAGTATGGACTAGGAAGGAGAAAGATGAAAGTCAGAGAAACGAGTTTAGAAACTTTTTGGAATAATCTAGGTGAGCTACGATATGTGGATGAACTTGGCTATCATCTTAATGGAAGCAGATCACCAGGCCTTTTCTTTCCATCCTAGTGAACTAGGACAGCACTAGTTGGGATGGAGGGGAGGAGACAGATTTAAAAGTATTTAGGGATAAAAATAATCAGATCTTGGTATTTAATGCAAGATTAGCTGAGCGATGTTATATTAACCAGACTAGGGAACATGAAAAGAGGTATGGTGGATGGACAGAAAAGATGATGAGTGTTTATAAAAGAATTGTGAGGTACTTACAGGATTTAAATTTATTTATTCCTTTAACAAATATCTAATGAATGCCTATGTGCCTGGTAGGAGTGTTCAATGAGCAGGTGGAGATAAATTTTGGAGCTTGATAGAGTTCTAATCAGACATAGTAACATACAGAGTGAATGGGATTGTTTAGGGTATATCTGTAAAGGAGAAGAGAAAAAGGCTGAAGACAATTCTTGAGGATTAGGATCCCTCAAAAAAAGACTAAGAGAAGGTAAGCAGAAAGGCAGATCTAGATGCAATGATGGGTCTCTCCTCATCCAGAGCAAAGAAAACAAAAGATGCATGGAAACAATTAGTCCAAGGGACTGGGACACCATGCGATCCTCAGCCTATATGACTATGAGATCAGAAGAACTAAATGGTGCCTGGCTACCACTGTCCACCACACAGAGGGGGATCTACGTAGGAAATCCTGGATAGAGTGGGAGAACTCAAACTAACTGCTGTCGAGTTGGATCTGACTCATAGTGACCCCTCCTTGGGTTTCAGTGTGGAACAAAACTCAAAATCATTAAAAAAAAAAAAAAAAAAAGGAACTAGTTTTGCTGGTCTGATAGAGCCTGATGGAACCACTAAGATTGTGGCCCATAGTTGCCCTTCCAGTCTGGAATTGAACCCACTCCTGTGGCTTCCATCCAAACAAGACAAGGCATATGAGCTGCACCTTTTACATTAGGTAGATACCCGTCTTGGAGAGATCAATCATGGGAGAATAGAAAGACTGTGGATGCACAGGGAGACAGCTCAGGAGGCAGGAATGCATGGGAGGGAAGGACACAGGGAAGAGGTAACTATGGGGATGAAGTGGGAGGGAAGCTGCTGCATTGTGAGAAATTGCAGTCAATGTCACGAAACAAAATGTGTGTGAGCTGCTGCATGGAAAGTGAATTTGCTGTGTAAACTTTCACTCAAATCACAATAAAAATTAAAAAAAAGAAAAAAGGTAGGCAGAAAAGTACAGAATCCAAGGAAATACAGAATTTGGAAAAGAGTAGGCAACAAAATGAGCAATACTTAAGAGAAAAATAAAATAAAGGTTGAAAAGTATCCATTGGATTTTGTAATTAGAAAGCCTTAGTGTTCTTAGGAGTCCCTGAAGGATACATACTTTAAAATGGTAAGTTTTATCTCAATTAATGTGCTTGGCTGGTAACTGAAAGATTGGAGGTTCAAGTCCACCCAGAGGCAACTTGGAAGAAAGGTCTGGCAATCTACTTCTGAAAAACTAGCTATTGAAAACCCTATGGAGCGCAGCTCTATCCTGACACTCATGGGGTTGCCATGAATTGGAATCAACTCCAATGGCAATTGGAGTGGACTGGAGTGACTTTAAGAGGAGTGGCAGAGGTCAAGCTGGACAACAATAGGTTGAGGAGTAAGTGGTAGTAAAGAAAGAGATATCAATACTCTTAACAAATATTTGTTTTGTGTCTTCAATGTGTCAGGCCATGACAGTGAGAAAATCCTAGAGAGATTTGGAAACAATAGAAAGGAAAGAAACAGGACAGTAAAAGGAGGAAGATGCAGGACACGGAGAGGAAAATGAGAGAGCTGGAAGGATCAAAGAGAGAAGTGAGAGAAATTTAAGGTCAATATGTTCTGAGTGATGACACGGTTCATGATGTGACCAGGGGAAAGGATAGTGAAGTGGAGTGGTGGTAAAGGTCTTTAGAAATTAACAAGCTAACAACCTACAAAGGTATTTGATCATTCTATCCAACAAAGGAAGAGAGGTGGAGAGAGTCATACAATACATAAAAGACATAAGTAGGATGAAATATACAATAGATAGTAGTACAGCAAGAGTCTCAATGAAAGGGATTAAATTCATCTTTAAAAAAATAAATAAATAAATAAATAAATATATATATATATAAATGAATAAATAAACTAATTTATTCCACTGCCAGCAACATAGTAGACATTCAATAAATAAATGCTACCAACTGACTGATGTGTCAAAAGCATCTCAAATCCAGCATGTTCTAAACTGAACTCTGATGTTTCCTCCCAAATTTAATTCTCTTCCTTTATTTTCTATCTCATTGAATGGTACCATCATCTATCCAGTTGTGTTTGCCAAAAAATTAGGAGGTATTATTGACATACTCCTTTCTCTCTGTCACTCTTCATATCTAATCCATCATCCAAAACCAAAAAAAACTCATTGTCGTCAAGTCGATCCTGACTCATAGCGACCTCTCCCTGGGTTTCCAAGGCCATATCTCTACGGAAGTAGATTGCCCTATCTTCCTTCCGAGGAGTGGCTGTTTGGGTTTGAACTGCCACCCTTTTGGTTAGCAGTCAAATGCCTTAGGCACTATGCCACCAGAGCTCCCTAATCCATCATTAAGTGTTGCCAATTTTACTTTCTAAACATCTCTGGAATCTGTCCAGATCACTCCATCTCCATCACCACCACCCTAGTGTAAGTAACCATCATGTCATCCATCTCTTGCTCCTAATTCACCTGTGCAATGTATTCTTGTCCCCTCCAACTCATTATTCACTCTTAGTCAGAGGCATGGTTTACAAATGCAAATCTAAGCAAGGCACATACCCCCTTTCCCTCTATCCTCAAACTCTTCAGTGGCTTCCAGTAGCTCTTGGAGTAATGACTGAATTACTTAAGGTTTGACTCCAATCTATCACCTCAGCCTCACCTTATAACACACTTTTTGTCACTATTTCTAGACTTTTCAGTGTCTTTGTCATGATTCCTCCTGATAGGGTCTTGGCACTTGCTGTTTCCTCTGCTTAGTATCTTTTTCCTCTCTTTGTTGCCTAGTTAAACTCCTGTTCATCCCAATCAAGCTCAAGTTTCCCCAAATCCCCTGTATGGGTCATATCATATTTCTTGTTGTTGTTGTTATGTGCCATCGAGTTGGACCCTACTCATAGCGACCCCTCCTTGGGTTTCCAAGGGAGTATCACTATGGAAGTAGATTGCCCAACTTTCCTTCTGAGGAGTGGCTGGCAGGTTTGAACCACCAGCCTTCTGGTTAGCAGTCAAGTGCCTTAGGCACTATGCTATACTTAGGCTCTCATAAATAGCACTGCAAAATTCTTCTTGTGTCTGTCATGATTGCAATTTTACATTTGTTTGAGTAAATATTTGACTAATGTCTGTCTCTATGAGGGCAGGGGCTGTGCGGAACACATATAAGGAACTGGGTATATATTTATTGAATGAATGAAGGAATGATACATTAATAAACTTGTTCAATGTTGTTAAATGGAGACCTGGGGACTGTGTTCCAAGAGAGGATTATTAGGTGGAAGGTTGGAAAAGATGAGCTCCAAGATTCCTCACATTTCAGAGATTTTGTGCTTTCAAGTGAACATGGATTATTTTCCTTACCCTCCTTTGCCTGCTTGGCTTTATCAACACCTGTACATTAGGTACCATAAAGAATTAAAGACCTTAAGGGTTGGGAGGAATTAGTTCCTTCAGATGCTAGAAGCCTTTCTTTATCAGATGCTTGAAAGAGACCCCTCAACAACAACCTTAATAATTGGTCATTTAGTCTCTACTTATCTACACCTAATAATAATGCTCAATTCTCTGAAGTATTCGTCCCCATTTTTGTTTTCTTTAATAATGTATGAATTCAGCATCTTTTTCATATATTACTGCCTATTTGTATTTCTTTCTAAAACTACTATTCACATCTCTTACCTATTTCTCCCTTTCGTCTATTTTTTATTTTTACTTATTTATAAAATTTTTGTTGATCAAGGAAATTAGTCCTTTGCCATACTATGTTGCAAATATATTTTCCAGTTTGTTGCTGATCTTCTGATTTTGTTCCTGGCATACAAAGTTTTCTATTCTATATGGTACAAAATGTAAAAGGTATGGAATAATATACAGTGAAAATTTCTCCTCATGCCCTTGTTCTCCAGCTCAATTTCCCTTCCCAAAGCCAAGTGCTATTGACATTTTTTTTCTATATATCTTTCCAGAGCTTGCTTATGTAGTAACAACATAGATTAGGAATAGATAGGCAGTAGAATAACCCATTCCCAGCATATTGTTGTTGTTGTTAGCTGCTGCTGAGTTAGCCTTGACTCATGGCGACCCAATGCACAATGGAACAAAATGCTGTGGATTGGACCACTGTGATCTACTTGATTTTCATCGCTGGTTTTTGGAAGTAGATTACCAGGCCTTTCTTCCTAGTCCATCTTAGTCTGGAAGGTTCTGCTGAGACCTGGTCGGCATCATAGCCATGCACCACCCTCCACTGACAGCACAGGTGGTGGCTGTGTGTGAGGTGCATTGGCTGGGGATCGAATCCAGGTCTCCTGCATGGAGGGCAGGAATTCTACCACTGAACCACTGATGCCTCATATAGACACATACACGTTTTGTTTGTATGCGTATGTATGTGTGTGTGTGTGTGTGTGTATCTTCTTTCTCCAACACAACCCAAAAAGTAATACTGTATTCCTTGTTCTGCATCTTGCCTCTTCACTTACACACGGGATATATCAGAGACCTTTCCATATCAGTACATAAAGAGCTGATGTTGTTGTCATTGTTATGTGCTGTGGAGGCAGACCCAACTCATAGCAACCCCTCCTTGGGTTTCCGAGGCAGTATCACTATGGAAGTAGATTGCCCAACCATCCTTCCGAGGAGTGGCTGGTGAGTTTGAACCGCCAGCTTTCTGGTTAGCAGTCAAGTGCCTTAGGCACTAAGCTACCAGAGCTCCTAAAGAGCTGATAGATACTACCAAGTTACCCTCCATAGAGGTTGAACCAAATTATACTCCCATCCTCGGAAGGAAGGTTGGGCAATCCTACTTCTGTAGTGACACTGCCTCGGAAACCCAAGGAGGGGTCGCTATGAGTCGGGGCTGACTCGACGGCACATAACAACAACAACAAGCAATATATGCAAATACCTGCTTCTACACCTTTTATCAGTACAATGTTGAAGCCTTTTTGATCTCTGCCAACCTGATAGGTAAAAAAATAGTATTGCATATCTCTAAGAGTGAAGTTGAGCATCTTTTCATACATTTAAAGTGCTTATGGGCCTTTAAAAGTTTTTGTATGACTTCTTTTTGTTGTTGTTATGTGCCGTCGAGTCGGCCCTGACTCATAGCAACCCCTCCTTGGGTTTCCGAGGCAGTATCACTACAGAAGTAGGATTGCTCAACCTTCCTTCTAGACCTTTCTATTTTAGATTAGGATTGGGAAGGATTATTGTGATTATGAGAAAAATAATCTAGTTAATCCAGACCTGAAAACCTGCTTTTCTGTTGGTGTGCAATGGGAAGGTTTAAGCTTTATCCTTATTTCTATCAGCAACACATCTGTGCCTGAGAGATGCATTGTGGTAGACTAGAAGAAGTATGGGCTTTAGGGACAGACAGTTTTACAATGGAATGCCACTTGCCTTATTTTCTTTCCTTCTTTCCATATTCACTTACTGAAGTTTTAGTATGTGTTGGGCCTGGTGCATGATGCTGGAGATTCAAAGATTAAAAAAAAAAAAAAAAAAAATACAGTTCTTACCATCAAGAAGTTCTCAGTATATCGAAGGAGGCAAGCACATAAACCAGTAAGTGTAATGCAAAATAGGTAACAATAATGATGATGCTAATGATGATGAGATACTGATAATTGTAACATCTCTGTAGATGAGGAATTGGAAAAGGATAAGACCAGAGACAAGGAGACCAGTTAGCAGGCTGCATCAGCAACTAAGGAAGCAATTCCGTGAGAATGAAGAAGAATCAGATTCTAGATATCATGAAGCAAAATCAATAAGAGTGATTTTGGTAAAAGCAAGGAATAAAGATAGGCTGCAGTGGGTTGAGGACTGACTGAGAGGAGAGAAAATGTGCTCTTTCTTTGATATGACAGCTCCTCTGGCATATTATGTTATTGTTCACCAAATATTCACTCCCTCCGTCCTTCCAACTGCATCTTCCCTGACCCACTGACGTTGCCTTGGCCATATGACTTGCATTGTCATAAGAGCAGGGTACTGTGACTCTCCTACCCCTTGAATTTGGACTTGGCCATTAACTTCCTTCAACCAATGGAATATTTTCAGACATCATAAAAGCAGAAGCTTGAAATGTGCTTGCAAAGTTGGCCCTGGTCTCTTGGGCTCCTGCCTTGCCTGAGAAGAACATGCTTCTGATAACTGCTGTTCAAAGAGGATAAATGGAGCAGGCCTAGGCCACAGCTTGGAGCCAAGCCCAGCTTAGTCCAGACTAGACCATCTTAATCTCAGCTGATCTATAGACCTGTGTGCTCAAGAAATAAATAATCACGACCTTATGGCGCTAAGTTTTGAGGAGGCTTGTTAATTAATGTGACGAGAGCTGACTGATGGAGGTCTCCAACAGGGTTAAAAGTTATCTCTTATCCCCACTTCCTTCACCTGTTCATATGCTTTCTCCTTTCTCATTTCTGCCAGATTCTCAGCAAGATACACTAACTGGGACCGATTAGAGGCACTCCCCAAAAGAGTCATCAAATTAGAATTCTGTACATGCACCCCTCTTCCCTATTTTCCTTTCAACTCTGCCACCATTCTAGAGCCAGCCACATGTCAAAGGAAGAAGGAATTTGTCCCCAGAGCCTGAGGCAGAGAGACTCTAGAAGAGGTTCAGTAAGAGTGAAACTCAAGGTGCATGGATGAATCAGAAGGGAATGGTTCCCAGCTCCTGGTTAATTCTGGAAACTCAGCTCATTCTATACATCAAGAAAAGTTAGAAGCCATCTAAAAGTCTACAAGAAAACCAGTCATACACCAATTGTTTATAATTGGAACTTTAAGTATGAGACTACTTTACATTTGTTCAAAACCACCTGAAGCCAGGAAGATAAAGGGAGGATACAGGGGTGGACCCAGGCTTTCTGGGATCTGAAGCTTAGCTTATATACAACTTTGAGCTCTTTAAAAAAAAAAAGAATAAAAATTACAAATATAAAATTAGGTTTATAATTGAATATTTATTTAAAATGAGAAATGATATCACAATAAATTACAAAGTTTTAGAAGTTGAGGAAAACCATAAACATCACAAGATGACTCTTCATATGAACATTAATTTTGCAGTATCATTTTCTATAAAGAAAATTAAAAAATAATTCAGTCTTTTGTCTACCATGGTTGATCAACTTGTTTATTTGTTATTGATAGTTTCAGAGAAATTTTTCTCAGCTTCAAAACTATTAGTTGTTCTGGTTACCTAGTGCCACTCTGACAGTAATATACTATAAATGGGATGGCCTTAACAAACAGGAGTTTATTCTCTTACAATTTGGAGGCTTTAAGTCCAAGTTCAAAGTGCCAGGCTCTAGGGGCTGGGTGAAAGCGCCTCAGCCTTGGGGTTCAGCTCTGCCTCCTGCTCCTGGCCCACTGGAGCTAGAGGCTTTTCTTCACTCCGACAGCTGCTGGCTGCTGAGGCTGCCAAGCCCAAGGTTGACAAGTAAAAAGGCACAGTCCCGATGTTACCAAACCACATGGCAGGCCATTAATTCAAGTTCATTGTAAGTTCCAAGGTAGGCAGAGCATGGAAGGCTGCTGAACAATGACACGGCTACATGCAGGGTCCAAGTGTGCTATAGGGTAGAGACCATTCCCCAAGGCTTCTGCTTATATACAGGAAGTGGACCACATTCCCTAAGGCAGCTACTCAGCTGCTCCCAGTAGATTCCACCATGGAGTTGATTACCAGTCTCATTATGAGGAATACTATATCCAGCTGCCCAGTCAGTCAACCAGGCCCAGCCAAGCTGACACACAAACTGAACTACCCACATTAGCAATGCTATGTATTTACATATTTTAGGATTATTGTGAAATTCAGGAAACCTCCATCAACTTTCTTTCATATAGAAGTTATAAGATTCAGGGCATTTGACTTTACTGATACTCTTCATAGTTTATTACTAATATCCTAGTTATTAGTGGCATATTGTAAGTTTTATGTTATGTTTGGTGATATCAATATTTTGAGGATATATACAATATATAACGGGAGCTCTGGTAGCATAGTGGCTAAGACACTTGCCTGCTAACCAGACGGCTGGCGGTTCAAACCCACCAGCGGGGCCAACTCGACGGCACATAACAACAACAACAACAACACAATATATAACATCACATGCAGAGGTATTCTTATTAATAGCATTACTACAGGCTTATGCCCTAAAAATATAGGAATTTTGATAAATTCTAGTTCATGTAACTTCTATATAAAAGAAAAAAATTCTGATACATTTATAATTGCACATCCTGCAAAAGAAGTATATTCCTGATAGGTGAGAAGGTCTGTTTTGACCAGGTGTTTTGGTTACCTAGTGCTGCTCTAACAGAAATATACCACAAATGGGAGGGCTTTAACAAACAGGAGTTTACTCCCCTACAATTTTGGAGGTTAGAAGTCTGAGTTCCAGGTGCCAAGCTCTAGGGGCTGAGTGAAAGCCCCTCAACCTTGGGTTTCAGCTCTGCCTCTTGCTCCTGCCCCACTGAAGCTAGAGGCATCTCTTCACTCAGGCAGCTGGCTGCTGAGGCTGACAAACCCAAGGTCGGCAAGTGAAAAGGCACAGTCCCGGTATTACCAAATCACATGGCAGGCCATTAATTCAATTCCATTAAAAGTCCCAAGATCGGCAGGGCAACATGGCAGGCTGCTGAACAATGACTCGGCTACATGCAGGGTTCAAGAGTGTCATCAGCCAGAGACCTTCCTCAAAGTTGTTTCTTATATATGGGAAGCAGCCGATATTCCTAAAGCAGCTACTCAGCTGCTCCAACAGATTCCACCATAGAATTAATTACCAGTCTCACCATGGGGCATAACTACATCCAGCTGCCCAGCCACTCAGTCAGGCCCAGCCAAGTTGACATACAACCTTAACTACCATACCAGGCATCAGTAAGAACCAAATTTTCCACTTACAGTTTTACATATATTGTAATGCATATAATGCATAACAGTTTCCGGATTCATGCATTTTTAAGCCTTGTTTCTCTTCCATCAAAGGATGTCATAGGACACATTCATATCCCCTTAAAAGCTCTGGCTACGTACCTTTGTGTCCTGTCACCTGAGAAGTTGGTGGTAGCAGTATTTCTGAGAGCCTTTTCAGTATCAGGACAGTCAGCAATAAGTTATTTCTGCATAAAAGAGACTGGGAGCCACATAAATAGATCCCATTAAACCAAAACTAAATATATTCCCAACTCAACTTCCCCTTAACCAAATTCCCCGAATACCCACAGACACTCTGTTCTGGTTACCTAGTGTTGCTCTGACAAGAATATACCACAAATGGGATGGCCTTAACAAACAGGAGTTTATTCTTACAATTTAGA